TGGTGTTTGTGTTTGGTGTTGTTGGTCTCTTCTGCGGTGTGTTGTTCTCTCTACAAATAAAATTAGGAGAAGGCATAAAAGGAATAATAAATAATAAGTCGTAGTAGTAGACGATCATGACGCGACAAACTGCGCGAACGCAGAAGACGGAATAAGAAGGTTGAAGATTGACGATTATTGTGTATTATATAAGGAGAAAGAAACTGAAGAAGAGGAAGAGGAGGAAATGAAAAAGTCTAGGACGACTGCTGCAGAATCGGGTAGTAGTTAGACAGAGAAAGGAGAGGAGAGCACTGCAGAGTGGAATGGAAAAGAGACATTTAGCGATTTGAAAAACAGACAGGCGGGGACACACAAGCACGCAACTTGCCTTTTTACTGGTAGCCCGATCCATTTGGCGAATGTCCAGCAGAGTCCATGCGGCTGTACTTTCCGCTGAGCAGAGTAGAACGGTTTGAAGGTGATGGTTTCAGAAGAAGGTGAAGGAGATTGAAGGTGAAGGCGGCAAGTGAAGACAAGTAGGCGAAGCAGTCAGAATTTGTACAGGAGGATTGTTCAGAAGTTCAGAAGAGATTTGAGACGGCGAGAGTGGCGAGAAAGAGAGAGAGAGGCAGACCGAAGGAGAGAAGGGAGATCACAAAAAGTTTGGCGAGTTAGAGATTTAGAGTGGGAGTGGCAATGGATGTGGTAATGGAGGCGAATCGGTTTAGAAAGGACTGCTGCAAAGGTTAACCTTCTCAAATGATCAAAAAAGTTCTCGCCGCTAGTGAGAGAGAGAGAAAGGAGGAGAGGCACTCGTGCGATAATAAGGAGGGAGGGCGTGAAGAGGACTGCGAAATCATGGGCGGCGATCAGAGAGAGTTTTGTGGTCCGTTAGTGGCTGCACTCGAGTCGAGCTGCATCAAAATCATGGTCAAACGATCAATGGGATCACAAATATCACCAGAAGATCATCATCACAGACAGATCAAGAGTATGGAGATCATGAGAGCGTGAGGCAGAGAGTAGGTGAGAAAGAGAGAGAGAGAGAGAGAGAGACCGAGCGAGAGATCACCACCGTCTGACCACTTGGTACGACTCGTAAGATCGAAGGATATTATCGTGTGTCGGGCAAGGCAAGGCAATGGTATGTAAATGTGTTGCAAGGACGACATGAGGGGCTGTTACGTTCCCGCATTCATCATCATCATCATCGTCCCNCCAGAAGATCATCATCACAGACAGATCAAGAGTATGGAGATCATGAGAGCGTGAGGCAGAGAGTAGGTGAGAAAGAGAGAGAGAGAGAGAGAGAGACCGAGCGAGAGATCACCACCGTCTGACCACTTGGTACGACTCGTAAGATCGAAGGATATTATCGTGTGTCGGGCAAGGCAAGGCAATGGTATGTAAATGTGTTGCAAGGACGACATGAGGGGCTGTTACGTTCCCGCATTCATCATCATCATCATCGTCCCTTCCTCCTGCTCATCCTTACCTGCGTCCACCGGCCGGAGGAGAGCGACTTCGGTATCGAGGACCACCACCACCGCCGCCGCCATATCGGTCGCTGCCACTGTCGGAACGGTAGCGTCCACCGCCGCCTCCGCCTCCCTGGCGTCCATTGGAGGCGCCGCCAAACTGTCGACGTCGGTCGCCGCCGTCCGAGTATCGTTGGCCACCTCCACCGCCTCCGCCGCCGCCACCATAGCTGTTGTTGTAGCTTCGGTTTCGGTTGTAGCCACCGCCGCCGTTGTCGTAGCCGCCGCCACCGCCTCCACCACCGCCGCCATAGCGATCACGAGGTGGTCCGCGGGACATGCCGTAGCCACCCGATGGGCCGCGGTTCTGGTCACGCGGCGGGCCACGTCCTCGCGGGCGACTGTCACCGTGCGAGTGCTCGACGCGAATCTTGTTGGCCGAGCCGAGCAGCGACTGACCGTTCATCTCCGAGACGGCCAGATCTGCCTCGGAGATGTGGTCGTACTCGACGAAGGCGAAGCCGGGCGGGTTCTGCGCCACCCAGACCTTGCACAGCTTTCCGAAGCGGCCAAACTCGCGCTCTATTTCCTCCTTCTGGGTGCGTCCGATGCCGCCGATGAAGACGCGGTTCTTCGGCCGGTCTGATGACTCAATGTCGCTCATGGCGTGTGTGGTGGTGATCGGAGAAGAGGGTGAAGAGGTGGTGATGGTGGTGGTGGTGGTCCTGGGTCGTGGGGATGATGATGCAAGTCGGCGGATTCTCGGCGCCTGGATTCGCTCAATGAATAGGGGTGAACTGCTTTTGCTTCTGCTGCTGCTCTTCGCCGAGGATGAAGCGCGTACACAAGAGAGAGAGCAAGCCGACTGCCAGGCCGAGTGAAAGCAGAGAAGAAAGGAGCAGCAGCGGCAGCAC